GATCTTATATAAGAAGGTGGATATTTATGTATCAAACATAAGGAGAGAATAAGTAAGTTAGTTATATCGCAAGATTATTATTTTACAGGAACATTTTAAAATAAATTGCTTATTGTGCAATGTACAGGTAAAAGGAGTACTTCAGTTCTAATTTCGTTCTAAGCAGGTGCAGATGTAGGTGTTGATGGTGATTTATTAATAGTTGAGCTCTTTAATGAAATCAAATATTCGGAGAGCTTCTCCCTTAGTTTGAGTGGAAGGAACCCACTTCTCAGAATTCATGGAAAAGTTCACCTAAGGTTCGTGTCTATGCAGATAAGAAATCTTTAGCTCAATGTGCATCATTAGGAGGAGAGAGTATGAACAAAATAAAAATACTACATTCTAATATAGGAACCCCGAACAAAAAATCTTTATCTTTATATATAAAATTTGAGAGTTGAACTCTCAGAATTGCGACATGTGTCGAGTCTACTTGGTAAATTTAACATATCATCCGTCACCTATTACTGACTAAATGATGTAGCACTTCTAATCAAAATATATAGTATATGCCTTATATACGGAGTGCTAATGTAGTTTTTTTAGAATCTTTATTTATATATATTAACTTTTAGAGTTGGCTTCCAGAATTATGACACATGTCATGCTTATTGGACAATTTATTTACATGACAGAAGTCATGTCGGTCATCAAACATTGATCGGAATTTTTTTTATTGTTTTCGTTCTGATTTCCATCGATCTTCCTATTTTTTCATTCGAAATTAGCTTTTTCCCAAACTTTTCTTATTGTATTTTTTTTTTTAATAAATGATATTCAACTATTATTTTCTTAAAAAATGAAATAATAGAAGTTGATATTTAAATATTTTTAAAAAAATTAAAAATTTATACTATGTATATTAAAATGAAAAAAAATTATAAATGGATAAATAATGCATTTGTATTATGTGTAATAAGTTAATTATTAATTAATTTTTACAATCAAATAATTTATGATATAATATTAATTGTTATAAATGCAATTACGATCAAAGAATATTTTTAAATACTAATTGTTATATTCTTGGTTAAAAATGAATTGTTATGTTCTTAAACGGTACTTGGTTTGATTATGAAAAAGTACATAGAATTTATAAATTATAACAATCTATTACTAGATAAAATGTATAAAATATTTATTTACATATTTGAAGGCAAAAAGGTTATACATGGTCTGTAATGTCTTTAAAGGAAAAAAGTACATCTGGTTCGTAACTAACTCTCAAGTTTTTGTTTGAAAAACTATCATGTATAAAAAATTAAAAATATATTTATAACACATCCCAAAAAGAAGTATGAAAGACCATCAATAGGCCGACTACAGTATGTGGCAACAGGAACCAAAGAGTTATGACAGCTTGAAGACACTAAACAATGTTCTTTATAATTCATTCGAGGAAGCATGCGATGCATTGAGGTTATTAACCGATGATAAAGAATTTATTGAAGGTATAAAAGAGACTGTTGAGTTAGGATATGGGAATGAATTAAGAAAGTTGTTCGTGACATCATTAGAGAGAAATATCATGAGTCAGCCGCAAATTGTTTGGAAAAAATCATGAGAACTCGTGATGGGTGGAATTTTACTTCATCAAAAGAGAATATTGCGTAATCAAGGTATTTCAATAGAAAAATAGTTTTTTTAAACATATTAATCCATATGTAATATATTTTTTTGAAATCAAACTCTTTAATTGAGTACTCTGTAGAACTAATTAAGTCACATTTTTCTAATTTTTTCTGAGCATATAATTTCCCAAAAAGTTCTAATGAATATATGTCTAATTGAGATTGAAAAGTTGCCTAATTTAAATGCACAGTCTTTAAGAGAATTTAGTGGATGTCATTTTCAGATGACAGTCCACTTAATAGATTTCAAAATAAATTCTTGCTATAAGAATTAACTATGATAAAGAAAGTCATCTGATCTTATGAGATACTTATCTACAATGAATGAAGATCAGCGGAAGATATATGATGAAATAATAAAAATTATGATGATTGAAAGAGGAGGTTTCTGTTTCGTATATGGTTACGGTGAAACTGGTAAAATATTTCTAGGGAAATTATTGTCTGCTTCTTTAAGGTCAAATGGTAAGGTTGTCTTGAATGACGATCCAGTGACATTTCAACATTGCTTTTGCCTAGGGAGGACAACACACTCGAGATTCTAAATCCTTCTAGCACTAACCAAGTGCTCAACGTGTGCCATCAAACAAGGAAGATTTGCTTTTGAGACAATAGATCACACAATGAGAGATGTAATGAGTTTCTCAAATAAAAATTCGAGAAATGAACCATTTGGAGGGAAAAAAGTTGTACTTGGAGGTGATTTTTGGAAATTTCTTCATGTTTTACCCAGAATTTCAAGAGAGGAAATTGTAGATACTACCATCAATTTCAAAAATATGGTCGTATTGTAAACTTTATACGTTGAAGAAGAATATGAGATTGTATCCATCGACGTCCTCTTGCGCAAATAGGGACACACAAGCCTTCTAATTGGATAATCAAAGTTGGAGATAAAAAGCTAAGACCGTTGGACAAGTGATTGATGGATGAACTAAAGTTGAAATTCCGTTCAGATTGATGATTCTAGACACAAGTTAACCCCTAAAGATAAGTGGATTTCACTTATCTGAACCTATTGGATACTATGAAAAGTTATTTTTTCGAGGTTAGAGCACTATTGGCACCCATGCTTGAGGTTATAGAAATGGTAAATGAATGTCATATCCCTCATTCCCAAATATGAAATGGTGTATCCGAGTTCTGATTCTTCATGCCAGGCAAGTTCAATGTAGGTGTTGATGGCGATTAGATAACAGTTGAGTTTTTGAATAGTTCAAATGTTCAAAGATCCCAAACCACAAAAATAATTTTTAAAAAAGGGGTACTAATTATATTATTGGGGGACATTGACCAAACATCTGGATTATGTAATGTTATAAGATTAATCATTGAAGAGCTGCAAAAGAGCGTTATCGATACTTTTATGGTTTTGGTAAATTCAGTCGGGGAAAAAGATTACATACCTTAGATGAATTTGGTACCATCTGGTCTAATTACTCCTGAAGTTTTAGAGAAGACAATTCTCAATAGTCTTATTTATACTTTGCAATGTCTATCATCAAAAGTCAAGGTCAAACATTATCATTTGTTGGATTATTTTTAACCAATTCGTTCTTCATTGATGGTTAGCTCTATTTTGCTATTTTAAGAGTCAAGACAATGACATGATTAAAAATATTGGTTCCAAATGACAAATGAAATAATTGCAACCATACCAAAATTGTTGAGTACATATTCAATTCCTAAAATATTATTTATTCTACTTTGGCATTTTTTTCTATAGTATTAAAAATCATGTCAGAATTATATAATTTTTTTGAAAAAATATTGCATTGAAAAGGTTTCAGAATCAACAAAAATTTAGTTCAACCCCGTGCGTCGCACGAGTGAGAATACTAGTGTGTGTGTGTGTGTGTGTGTGTGTGTATAATACCGGTATTAGTCACCAAAATCGGTGTGGTAGCGCCGGGGAACGCTTACCGAGTTTATTAAGAAGGTAAAAGGGGGAAACGATACAACACGTTCGGGGAGGACTAGACCGACGCCCCGAAAGTAAAATAACAATCCAACAACATAAACAGAGTAAAAGAACCCTAGGCTAAGGAGGCAAGGCGCAAACCATACACATAACCGAAATTGGAGTTAACCTATTTCCCAGCTTTACGGCAAATCAGAGCTCCTGCAAGGGCGAAAGGTTGAAATCCCCACTCGCTGAGCTGATTTTCCTTGATCATCCACCCCTTTCTCCGGTATTTCCAGCACCAAAGATTAACGGTAAGCTTGATGTTGTTGTTTATCTCCCTATAGCTCTCCATCTCTCCTCCAAAATATATTGAAGCAAATTGCTTCCAAATTGACCACGCAATTATACCTGGAGCGACTAGCCTTAGGTTTCCCACATAGGAATTATGTGTTGATCTCAAATTCCACTCTAGAATGTGCTGTCTTAGTCCTATTCCCTGTTGTAGTTTAGGTCCTTCGCAAATATTTGCCATTTCTGCCCATATATTTTGTATCTTAGAACATTATAAAAGACAATGGTCCATAGTGGCTTCTTCCTTCTTACAGAATGGGCACTGGGATGGGAAGCTGGTCCTGAATCTGTTCATAGTATCTGGGAATGGGAGGATATTGTTCTTCACTTTCCATAGGAACATTTGAATTTTTGGGAGTTGTAGTTTTTCCCAGATGAAAGAGTCGCTCAGTTGCATATTGGTATGTATCCTACAGTGGTCATAGGCCTGTTTAATTGTGATAGGTACTGCCTCCATCTCTTCTTCATCCTCTTGATCTGGTGTGATGTCCCCCAAGAATTCCTCAGCCTTTGAATGTATTCTGCAGATTCTTTTCCTGATTGGAGAGTCTGTGAGCTTTTCCTCAAAGCAATTTGTGCTATACTTTTTCCTCATGAACTAGGCCCACTTGTTGTTATGGAATCTGAAATTCCACCACATCTTTATAGAGTATGCATCCTGGATGTCCCTTATGTCTCTAACTCCCAGTCCACCCTCTTCTTTTGGCTTGCATATATCTTCCCACTTAGTCCAATGATACTTGTTGTTCCCACTTGAGGTGCCCCAAAAAAAATTTGCCATCATTGAATGAAGTTTAGTAATGACAGACTTTGGGAGAGTGTGTACAGCAATAAGGTGTAGTGGAATGGATGAAAGCACATGCTTTATGAGAATAAGTCTACCACTCTCGTTAAGAGTCTTGCTATACCAACTATCAATGTACTTATTAAAGTGTTTGAAAAGCTCACCACAATCAGTTTTTTTTAACTTTCCCTTGCAAATTGGTGCTCCAAGATATTTGAAAGGAAGCTTGTCATGTTTCATTCCCAGGATTCCTTCAATCTTGCTAATGGCTGACCTGCCTAGTTTGTTCCCACAGTAAAATTTACTCTTTTCATAGTTAATCTGCTGTCCAGAGGCCTCCATGTACATATTGAGAATATGTTTGAGTTTATAAATATTTTTACACTCTCCATTACAGAAAATGATAATGTCATCTGCGAAAGCAAGATGGCTTATCATCATATCTCTTCCAGTGTTGTAGTTGGTGATGTAGGATGACTTCATAGATAAATTGAGAGCTCTAGAAAGACCCTCTGCTACAGCTCTCCCCCTTGGTAGATCCACCCTCTGCTACAGCACTGTCAGCAACAATTTCTCTAAGCCATGTAAGATGCTTGTGCTCCTCCTCAAGTGCTGTCTGTTTTGCATGCGTCACACTCATTTCTTCCTTGTTAGGTTGTAGCTTGGCATCCAGGTATTGAATCACAGCTGACACTCTTTTCTTAGATGTACTTTGAGCGGGCTCCATGTTATTGAAGTGATTGCCATCAAAGTGCCTGTAGTTGATCTGCAGTAGTGGCTCTGGTGGTTCATCCTTGTCAGCATCATCTTTGACAAACCCTTGGGAAACAAGCATCTGAAAGATTAGAACAAGAAAAGGCAGACCATTATCATTTTGCTTGTAGTTTCTTTTTCCAAATTCAGCAAACTGGGACACAATCAGCTTTCCTAGGTTGATTGGGACATCATTTTTAACTTTGTAGAGTAGCATCCCCATGGCCTTGGTGACAGTGTTTGTATGAGTGGTTGCAAGCCAGTGACATGCTGCAACGCGCAGGAGAATGGAGTAGGAGCTGTTGAGGATAGAGGAGGGGACTTTGTTTGAAGGGTGTTGGCTATTTCTTGCACCATGTGTCAGTTATCTCCACATTGTGGCTTCCCCTATGTGCACATCCTGTTTATCATGCAATCCCAGGAATGTATTCACGGTTGCATAGGAGAAATCATAATGCCTTCCTCGCACAAACACTTTTTCAAAATTTTCATCAGCAGGGCTTACAAAACTCTCATTTAGATTGTAGTAAAATTCACGGATCACTTGCTTGACATAAGACCCAGGCAATGTTACAGATCTCAACAACTTTCTAGATTTTAGCAGAGGCATGAGATTGGTTTTCAAAGTGAAATGATGTGCTTTTTCTCAATCAGATTCATAAATGATTGTGCAGTAGAGGAGAGAAAAATAGTATGAGAGGACTTCCCTGGGAGAACATTCTGATGTTTCTTTGTTCCGCTCAGGGGTGTCTTGGAGCTGGAGGTTGAGTTCTTGACATTACTCTTGACCTTTTTGGATGGTGGTGGAGATGCTTCTGGAGTACGAATCTCGGATGCAAGTTTCCGTTTGGACCAGCGGATTGGAATGGAGACTGATGGTTTAGATTTTGGCTTTTGATTCTGAGGGGGATTCTCTAAGCTGGCTCATGTGTGAAAGGGAACTTCAGATACAGCCATTAGTGGTTCCTCATCCAGCAGATTTAGAAACTCTTCATCTCCGCCAGCTTCAGTTTGACATGCTTCATCTGGAGCTCTTTTGGATTGATTTTTGCATGGCTCTTCCTGTTCTTTGAGATTTGGGTGACCTTTCTCATCTTCATTCTCCATTTCTTCTAGAGTTGGGAACACCTTGATAGATTGCTCATGTGGCTTGTATTCTAGATAGAACATGGTTGGTAAATCAGGGGTGAGAAGTACTTCATCAAGCTATGCTTCGTGCGATTTTACAGCAGCAAGGGAAGATGTTTGGAATTCATCATCTTGTTAGGGAGGTGTTGATGTCAGATCGCTTTCTTCCATGGAAATCGAGGTCTGTGGCTTTGCCCTTGCTAGAGCAAACCTCTTGAGAAGTGTTGCACTTCGCTTTGCTTTGGGAGAATTCTTCCATCGCTACGGGAGAGCCATCTTGGTGCGCACCATGGTTGCAGATTCAATTGAGCTTTGACTAGGGTTTCTGGGTGGTTGCAGACGAGAGGAGGAAGCCAGATCGTGAGGAAGATAAAGGGTATAAGGACCCTTGGGGCTGATAATGAGATTTGAAAACTGTTTGACCTCTTCGATTCCAGGAATACGGCGTCAGATATAGATAAATGTGTTGCAGGCTTGACTTATTTGTAGCCTTCTTCATCATTGTCTTTTATTGTGGGATTATCAGTAAGGAGCACACAGACCGAATTTGGATTCGAGAGTTTCAAATCTGTTTCCATCTAGTGCCTTAGTGAAGATATCTGTGAGCTGATTTTCAGTAGACACATGTTCTAGGCTCACAATTTTGTGTTCAACCAGTTCACGTATGAAGTGATGTTTGATTTCAATATGTTTTGTGCATGAGTGAAGCACTGGATTTTTGGATGTACTGATGGCACTTGTATTGTCGCAGTATACTGGGATAGTGTCATGTTTGTCCCCGTAGTCAACAAGAATGGACTTCATCCATAATAGTTGTGCACAACAGCTTCACGCAGCTATGTACTCAGCCTCTGCTGTAGAAAGTGACACAGAGTTTTGTTTCTTGCTTAGCCAGGCCACGAGGTTTCCACCAAGAAAGAAGCAACCTCCTGAGGTTCTTTTTCTGTCATCAATATTTCCAGCCCAGTCTGCATCACTGAATGCCATGAGTTTAGCCATACCTCCTTTAGAGTACCAGAGTCCCAAATTTTGTGTGCCTTTCACATACTTTAGTATTCTCTTAACTGCTTTGATATGTGATTCTTTTGGATTTTCCTGGTATCTCGCGCATACTCCAACAATGAAGCACAAGTCTGGTCTGCTTGCAGTTAGGTAGAGAAGACTCCCTATGATTCCTTTGTACCTTGTTGCATCGATTTCCTTGCCATCATCGTCTCTACTGATTTTTCATGTGTTGGGCATGGTGTTCTAGCACTTTTACTGTCACTCATGTCGAACTTTTTTAGCATTTTTTGAGCATACTTGCTTTGAGATATGAAGATTCCTTCAGTTGTTTGTTTGATCTGAAGACCCAAGAAGAATGTGAGCTCTCCTATCATACTCATCTCAAACTCCTTCTCCATCACTTTTACGAATTCATCAGCCTGTGCCTTTGATGTAGACCCAAACACAATATCGTCCACGTATATTTGGGCGACCAGTAGGTCTGTGTTATACCAAATGTAGAACATTGTGTTGTCTACTCCCCCTCGCTTATATCCTTCCTCAATCAGATAGGTTGTTAGCTTTCATGCCAGGCTCTAGGTGCCTGCTTTAGTTCGTACAGAGCCTTGTGAAGTTTTGTATACATGGTTTGGATATTTTGAGTCTTCAAACCCTTTGGGCTGCGCTACATACACCCCTTCTTTTAGGTACCCGTTTAGGAAGGCGGACTTCACATCCATTTGGTAGACCTTCATGTCCAGGACGCATGCCATGCTAATGAGCATTCGTATGGACTCAAGCCGTGCTACTGGAGCAAAAGTTTCTTCGAAGTCTATTCCCTCCATCTGTGTGTAGCCTTGTGCAACTAACCGGGCTTTGTTTTTGATGACTTTTCCTTCCTCGTCAGTCTTGTTTCTATAGATCCATTTTGTGCCAATAACATTTACGTTGTCTGGTTTCGGTACTAGTTCCCACACCTTGTTTCTCTATAACTGCTCCAGTTCTTCGTGCATGGCATTTATCCATGTTGCATCTGTTAAAGCTTCTTTGACATTTTTGGGCTCAGTAGATGATGTATAATATGCCTTTGTCATCTGTAAGAAGTCAATCTTCTTCTTCCGTGTTCTTATTCCCTTAGTGGGTGTGCCAATAATGTTCTCTGGTGGATGACTCTTCTGAATATGAGTAGGGACGCTACTTGATAAGTGCATTTTGTTCTTATTTTATTCAACATAATTTAAGCGTTGTTGCACGAAAATAGTGATAAGCAGTACATAATTTTATGTTAAACTGAACAATATCTTTGGTTTGTTCTTTAAGGAATAATAATTGGTTTAAAATTAATTCAGTCTTGATTGTTGATTTTTCTTTTTGTATTTGTAAGAAAAAGAAGTTGTTAATTGAGAATTTTATCATGAGAATATCGGAGGAAGCAGAAACAAGTCATGAAGTTAATTGAAAATGAAAATTGGGCCTGAATTGGGCCAAGCCGCGGAAAAGCCCACAGGAGAAGGCCCGAAGCGTCCAACCTTGGACACTTTGCTGGTTGGACGCTTTGGCTTGGAAGCCTGGCGAGGATTGCGCATCAAGGAAGGCACGTGGCAGACAGTGAATGGATGGGACACGTAAGGCGTCCAACTTTGGATGCTTTGGATCTTGACGGCATGGGTTGGACGCTTTGCGTCCAGCCCTATAAATACAATGCCTCCCCTCTTCGATTTTACACACTACACAGCGCCTTTCCACCCCAAAAAGTCCGTGATTACTTTCTTTTAGCCTAGATTTATAAAGCTACTCTTATATTTTTTATTAGAGTAAATTCCATAATTGGTCCGTTATAACATGGGGGTTTCCATATTTAGTCCTCTATTATCAAATATTACCCTTGAAGTCCTTTTTTTAAGGGTACCTTTCCACAAATGGTCCTTTTTTTTATCTTCCGCCATGTGGTGTTAATTTAAAGCCTAAAAGTATAATTTGACATCAACATTATGTCTAGTAACGTGTTCTGATATTGGTTAATCGAATAACACAAATATAATGACTATGATTGTGGGCTAGGATTCCGACGGAAGACCACATTTGTAGACTATGGTTGTAGTAGAAAGCGAATCTAATTCACAAACGACGCAAACGGAACAACCTTTGGAATTGTGTATGACAAAAAAGATATATATTATCATTGTGAAATTACACTTTTAGCCTTCAAATTAACTCCGACATGATAGAAGATCAAAAAAGGACTATTTGTGGAAAGATACTCATAAAAGAAGGACCACTGAGGTAATATTTGATAATTGAGGACTAAATAGGGAAACCCCCCTGTTATAAAGGACTAATTATGGAATTTACTCTTTAGATTAGTATCATTTTTGGAGTTTTTCTCAGAGCCAATTGTAGCCCGAACCTCCTGTTCTTCAGATCTGCTAAAGTAAGTTTTTCTACTTTTACTTATCAATTGAAAAATGCCTTCTTATTATGCATTTGTGTTGAAAGCTTTTGTTATGAGTAGATAAATTAATTAGGGATGTAATTTTTGGTATGGTGATGGTAATTTTTTGGTAAAAAAATTGAGTTGAAATATTTTGTTGTCAAAGACAAATTACTAGTTTTTATTACTGAGAATTTATACTTGAGATTTGTAAATCGAGAGAAAGCAAATCTATTCTTGAAAATTATATTTCTTGAGAAATCTGGAATTTAATTAAGTCAAGTCCTGTAATTTTTACAATTAATCTCTAGACATTGGATTAATTGTTAAGTAAATATTTGAAAAAGTATTTACTTACTAGTAAAAAGATTTAAGGTAAAAGTGAATGATGATTATACTCTTAAAAGAACCATCACCTAACCAATAATTACATCCCTACTTTTTATTCCTGAAAGGTTAAAATCAATCTCCATTCCTTTTCGACTTTTTGAAAACTTTTCGATTCAACAAGTAAATCATGTCTAGCTAGTCTTGCTTAACTTTCCCTTGGGCCGATCCTTGAGACGACACGGAATAAACTGATCTTTTAATATCTAGTCTTTTCCCTTTACTACTACGGGAATTTTGAGTTAAATCAAAATTCTTCACCAAATGGCGCCGTTGCCGGGGATCGGCGCAGAAAGTTATTAGTAAGATTTTTTTTAGTTAGCCTGAATGAAAATGGATAGAAAAGATTTTCATATAAAAAAATATTTTTTTAATAACATTTTATTTTTGAGTTTAATTTATTAAACTCCATTTATTCGAAGGTTTTCTTAGTTTAACCTTTATTTTCCAAAAAAAATTATAATAATATTAAACATAAAAAGTTTTTTTAAAAAAAACACACATTTTTCTGTTATTATTAGATAGCTATTAGGATTCTTTCTCTAAGCCCTTAAAATTGTATGAACACTCGTTCTCGCGGTGAGAATATTTTTCCGGGAACTAAGAACCCCGAACTTTTGCTCCGTCGCCGTACCGTTAGAATCTCTCGTCAACTGGAGCTCAACGACGAGGAGCGAAGAGAAGAGGAAGAAGAAGAGGCAAATCACGAGGAAGAGAACCAACACTCGGAGGAAGAAGAGGAAGAAGAACGAGAAATGGCGGCTAATCCTAGGCGAACGATCCTTCAAGCCATGAGCCCGGCATACGTCGAGGAAGATCCCATAGGTCTCCCCACTAGTCAAGCCCATTCGTTTGAAATCAAACCAGCGATGATCCAAATGGTCTCAAATAATCAATTTGGAGGCTCAAAAGCTGAAGATCCAAGGGCGCAGATGTTGTGGTTTTCTATGACCTGCCAAACGTTCTAGTCTAACGTCTTATCCATGGACCGTTTTAAACTATCGCTATTTCCCTTCTCACTTCGGGATCGGGCAGCAAGATGGTTAAACACATTTCCTAATGGTCATTTTAAGACCTGGGAGGCGTTGCACCAGGCATTTATGCACGAATATTTTCCGCCCTCTGCCATGGTAAAAATTAAAAACTCCATCCAGAACTTTCGTAAAGCACCTATGGAATCAATGAGCGAAGCTTGGAAAGATTTAAGGAATTGAAGGTTAAATGCCCACCCGCTTTAATTGACTCCGATAGTTTGACGTTCTACTTTTACCAAGGCTTGACAGTTCCATCTAAGAAGGAATTGGACCATTCTAATAAACTTGGTTCTTTTCTGGAGATGACACCTGAGGAAAATGAGGAGTTAGTAGAAAGGCTCACTTCAAATGCTAAATATTCGTACGAAGACCGAGCTCTTCCTCCTAAGGCGGGCATGTATGAAATAGACCAATTCACAACTCTCAAGGCTAGTATGGAGAGACCCGTGAAACAAACTATCAAGGAGCACCTAGGAGCATCCCATTCGCATCCCAATCTGTATGCTGAATCGGTGAACCAAGCTGAACTTTATGGTTCTGGTAGTCACCACCAATCTGATCTTGTCTTGTCTTGTGAACACTGCTTCCAAAATCATCTTTCTTGTGCTTGTCCTTTGATTGAACCACCCCCTCCGAGCAAGGCTAAGGATGTTAATCTAGCACAATATGCAAATAAAGGGGAAGGGCCTTGGGCCCAGAACAATCAAGAGCATTGGCAAGAAAGGAACAACTTCCCAAGAAATAATCACCCTAGGGATGATTATAAGCAAGGTAATTGGAATAACAATAAAAGCAATTACCAAAATAACAATGCATCCTACGTCCCACCTCATAATCGCCAACCCTCGCAAGAAGATTCCTTGGCAAGAATGGAAAAGATGATGATGGAGTACATGCAGAAGATGAACAATCTGGCGGATGATTTTAAGGAGCGTGACAAGACGCGCGATAACCAACTCCAACAAGTATTTAAACAACTTGAAGTTAGAGAACAGGGGAACCTCCCAGCTACAACAGAACCAAACCCAAGAGAACAACTTCGGACCATAACTCTGAGAAGCGGTAAAGAGTTCCAAGGCCCAGAAGTCGAAGCCGATGTAGAAGAAGTCCCCGTAGATACTTCTGTAGGAGCATCCCCTAAAAAGAAGACTGAATCCGCACCTCACGAAACGAGGAAAGAAGGAACCTCCTCTAGCCAATCCCAACCAACCAGGCAAACTCAGCAGAACACTATTCCCTTCCCTACTACGGTGAAAAAGAGCCAGGACGAGAAAGCTTTCCAAAAGTTTCTCGACGTCATTGGCCAAGTTGAGGTCAAGATGGCTTTGGTAAATGTGTTAACTGAAAGGCCCAAATATGGCTAATTCTTAAAAGATCTAGTAACTAAGAAGAGAGATTGGGAGGAATTCCCGGTTGTCAGCTTAAATGCTGAATGCTCTGCCATGTTACTAGAGGAAATGCCTAGAAAACGGAAGGATCCTGGATGCTTCATTATCCCTTGCTCTATCAATGATAGAACCTTCGGAGACGCTCTAGCTGACCTAGGAGCTAGCATTAATTTAATGCCGTCCTCTATCATGAAAGCATTGGGATTGACTGGACTTAAACCTACTCAAATGTGTTTTCAATTAGCAGATAGTTCTATTCGTTACCCCACGGGGGTGATTGAAGACTTACTTGTGAAGGTAAATAAGTTCATCTTTCCCGCGGATTTTGTGGTATTGGATATGGAGGAAGATAAGGAGAAGCCGCTATTACTAGGGTGTCCATTCCTTGCGACCGCAAAGGCATTAATTAATGTTCATGATGGAGAATTAACTTTGAGAGTAGGCAATGAAGATGTCACTTTTAAAATGATGAGCGTCATGAATCTAACTCCAGACCTAGCTGAGTTCTGCAACTCAGCTAAAATCAAAAAAGATAAAGGGTGTGTAGAAGATCTTCTGAGCCTAGAAATTCCTTTCCAAGAACCTAAGTGTGAGGAGGTGCGTGAAATTAAAACATAATCTGAACCTACGAAAGAAACAAAATCCTTAGAACTTAAACCTTTACCATCACATCTCGAGTACGCTTTCCTCAATAGTGAGGGCCAGTGCCCTATTGTCATAGCCTCTGATCTAGCACCTGATCAGAAGGAGAAGTTACTAGCTGTCCTCCATTTGCACAAGCCAGCAATTGCTTGGAAGCTAGAGGATATTCAAGGGATAAGCCCTGCTTATTGCACGCATAAAATAGACATTGAGGACAGGTTTAAACCAGTTGTGCAAGCACAACAGAGGTTAAATCCAAAATTAATGGAAGTAGTGCAGAAAGAAGTGCTTAGACTCTTGGATGCTGGAATAATTTATCTTATTTCAGATAGCCAGTGGGTGTCACCAATCCACGTTGTTCTAAAAAAGGGTGGGATGACGGTGACCAAAAATGAGAAGGGAGAGCTAGTTCCAGGAAGGACTATGACCGGTTGGCGAAAGGTTATAGACTATAGGAAGTTAAATGATGCCACATGCAAAGATCATTTCCCCTTCCTTTCATTGACCAACTCATTGAGAAAATGGCTGGCCATGCGTATTATTGTTTCCTAGATGGGATGAGTGGTTATTTCCAAATTCATGTAAACCTTGAAGACCAGGACAAGACCACTTTCACTTGCCCCTTTGGAACCTTTGCATTCCGACGAATGTCGTTCAGACTCTGTAATGCCCCTGCCACCTTTATGAGGTGTATGATAGCTATTTTCGAAAAGTTTATAGGGGATTTTATGGAAGTCTTTATGGATGATTTCTCTATTATAGGGAAGTCATTAACGAATGCCTAGGTAATCTAGAGAAAGTTCTCATAAGATGCGAGGAAACTCACTTAGCTCTTAGTTGGGAAAAGTGTCAGTTCATAGTCAAGGAAGGAATAGTCTTAGGGCACAAGGTATCGAGCCGTGGAGTAGAGGTGGACCATGCTAAAATCGAAACTATTGAGAAGCTACCCCCACCAAATTCCGTAAAAGCCATCCGAAGTTTTTTAGGACACGCAGGATTCTACAAAAGATTCATCAAAGACTTTGCTAAAATAGCAAAGCCCCTAACTGCCCTACTAGAAAAAGGTATGTAGTTTGTTTTTACGGATGAATGTTTACAAGCATTCAATACCTTGAAGGAGAAGCTGATCTCAGCCCCAGTTCTTATTGCCCCAGATTGGGCACTACCATTTGAACTTATGTGTGACACTAGCGACTTAGTAGTAGGAGCGATCCTAGGGCAAAGGAAAGAAAAAATATTTTACCCCATCTACTACGCTAGTAAAACCCTTTCGGGAGCACAGCTTAACTACACAACCACCGAGAAAGAATTCTTAGCAATTGTATACGCTTTGGAAAAATTCAGGCCTTACATCATTCTTTCTCCAGTTATCGTTTACACCGACCATGCGGCGTTGTGGTACCTGTTGCAAAAAAATGATGCGAAGCCTCGGCTATTACGCTAGGTGTTATTGTTGTAGGAATTTGATTTACAGATCAAGGAAAATGATCGGCCAATCAAGCTGCAGATCATCTGTCTCGACTAGATGTGGAAGTAGCAGAACAATTTGGCAATTGTGTAGTAAACGAATCCTTTCCCTTTGAGAGGATTTATGCTATACAAGAGAAGGAGCCTTGGTATGCGGATATCGCAAATTATCTGGCAGGAAAGATCGAGCCTACCTTGCTGACACCGCACCTAAGCAAGAAGCTTAAGCGAGAAGCTCACTTCTACTTTTGGGACGATACATACCTTTTCAGGGTCTGTGCAGACGAAGTGGTTCGACGGTGTGTAAACGAAGCTAAAGGTAAGGAAATTTTGGCAGCCTGCTATAGTGGCCCAGTTGGCGGACATTTCTCAGGAGCAAGGACAGCAAGGAAAGTATTGGACTCAGGATTCTTTTGGCCAACGCTTTTTAAAGATGCTAATCAGTTTTCCGCTTCCTGCGACCGCTGTCAAAGATTGGGCAATATATCCAAGAGGGATGAGATGCTGCAACATTACATGGGGCCATTCCCGAGTTCTTATGGTAATAAGTACATCCTCATCGCTATTGATTACGTCTCCAAATGGGTTGAAGCCCAAGCTTGCAAAAGGGACGATGGATTCACTGTGGTTCGGTTCTTGAAGAAACTGTTTTCTAGATTTGGGGTTCCAAGACTAATAATAAGCGACAAAGGTACCCATTTCCGAAATGACCCCCTGTCTAAGGCATTGGAGCGTTATGGAGTTCAACATAGAGGAGGAGTGGCATACTACCCTCAAACGCAAGGACAGGTGGAGAATGCAAACAGGGATTTGAAGAGAATCTTAGCTTGGAGAAGACTGTCGCCCGTACAAGGAAGGATTGGAGCTAGAAACTCAATGATGCTCTATGGGCATTTCGCACCGCGTATAAAGCACCGATTGGTACAACTCCCTTTCACTTGGTGTACAGGAAGTCTTGTCACCTTCCAGTACAAATTGAGCATAAGGCGTTATGGACACTGCAAAATGTTTGCCTTGATTCTTGTGAAGCTGGGCGAGAGAGATTCTATCAACTAGATGAGCTAGACGAATGGCGAGCATTAGCATTCCATAAAGCTAAACTATACAAGAAAAGGATGAAGCTTTATCACGATGCTCATATCAAGCTGAGTAGGGTCTTTCACGAAGGCGAAAAAGTGTTGCTTTATAATTCTTGTTTGAGATTATTCCCAGGAAAGCTTCGCTCCCGATGGATAGGGCCATACACAATCACCAAGGTCTTTCCCTATGGGACTATTGAATTGAAAGGTGAATCAGGAACGTTTAAGGTCAACGGTCAACACATTAAGAGGTATTTTGGTGAGCAGCTTCAGAAAGGGAAGGTGGAGATTAAACTCCACAAACTCCAAGCTAGTGACGTTAAAAAAGCACTGAACGGGAGGCAACCCATTAGTTCTCTTTAATATATTTAATTATTATTTTATTCCTTATTTGAATAAATGAACGGAGACTTGTCGCACCTATGTGGGGGCAAGAATTTATATATGTGTTTCATGTGCAGATGCCTCACAGACCAGCATACCCGACTTCTACGCGTGCCAACGTTCACTTGGTGGGTTCAGGGTCCATCGAGCGGTTTGAGTTATGGGGCCGCCACCGCTCTTTGACGGAGTCTGTGTACTTGTCATCGGCAGTTCTTGCCGATTACGGGTACGCCAAGGAGATGGAGCTGCTGCTGCAGGGGACGAGGTGGCAACGCCTCTTTACATTGCGGGCTGAGTCCAGCCTGCCACTGACGATCGAGTTCCTATGATCTCTGGAGTTGGAGCCATTCACAGGGTCGCGGTCGATGAACCTCCAGTCCATCGACTCTCATACTACCCTTACTTTCACTCTCCTGGGGCAGGGGTTCCAGCTGACGGTTTCTAATTTGGCCACACACTTGGGTCTCTACACTTGGGAGGAGATGTCAGCACCAGAGTTCGACGACGCACCATACCTTCTCTTTGCGGATGTTGACCCTGCTGACTTTTGGGCGGAGCATTCTTCTGACCCGGACCACTTCGATAGCATGGGCCGGGCGAGGTTCTGGATTCAGCCGACTTGGGGAATCTTATATTTTGTGCTTTCGACGTCCTTCTTTGGAAGGCCGTTGAACACGGATCGGGTCTACCCCAATGATATGATTGTCTTCTGGAGCCTGCACACACGCCGGGAGGCGAATGTGGCCGTCTTTATGGCACGATTCCTCTACAGCCAGTCCATGGGGAATCGGACGCACATTGTCTGTGAATTCGTGGTCACCATACTCTTCCGATCGCTCGTGGGGTCGACGCCCATTCCGCAGCCCCAGATGTTGACGCGTGATTTGGATGCAGGCATGCTGAGGAATGCTCACATCCACAGGACGTTGGGATCTAGCTCTACCGAGAGCAACAACGCCTCCTCATCTACGCCCTCGACCTTGGGAGCATCTTTGCAGGTTTCATCTAGGAGAGCCACCTGCCGCCGCCCCACCACCTCTCAGACTCCTGCAGCCACAACCCAAGCGGATCCGATCCCTGATTGGGCTAAGAGGATCATGGAGCAGCAGGAGACCATCATGCAGAGGATGTCCGAAATCGGACAACAGCATGCATCCCAGGCTGAGATCTTTACTCATCTTCAGAATATTTTAGTAGCATGCATCCCAGGCTGAGAGCTTTACTCAGCTTCGGAATATTTTCACTGGCTTCCATTCGGATGTGCACATTGGGCTCACTCCCCGTTCTCCTGAGGGTGACGATCCCTCTTCCTCTGCCCCTCCTCCTCAGTGATCTTTCTATTATTCTCCTTTAAAACTTTTATTTCCTTTAATTTATGAGCATGAATTGATGATCGACTAGATTTGTTGGAACTTCTTATTTTCTGCCGGTAAAATTTACTTATGCACTTGCTTTAGTTCTATTTTCATCAACCCTTTTTGGATTATTGATTTGTGTAAGTTCTTTTATTATTAATCAATCATTCCAACCCGGTATTATACTCCTAAACATTTTTTTTCCAACTGCGCGAACGCAATTGTGTTCAAGTGTGAGGAGAGAATTTATCTGGTTGAAATGATTGAATGAAACGTGTTTTACATGTATACTTGTAGGCAACTTTGGTTTTAACGTAATCATCAGTCTAATATTGAATACTTAATTGATAGGTTGTCAAGCATATAAGCTGGGAATTTTCAAAGTTTTGGCAAAACTCCTATTTTTACTTATTTTTTTTAAAATAGACTACTACCATTGCTGAAATAAACTAGTATTTTCTTAAAAGTTTTCTTAAGTCAGATAATTTAATTACCTTTGAAACTATTAATTTCACTAGAATTTTTAACAATATGTAAAGGTCTGCACAAAATATTTTCTACTTCTACTCTTTAAATATGATTTTCGTTAAGATTGCGCTTAAGTGACGAATTGGAAATTCTATCTCCAGAAAAGGGGCTCTGCTTCTCCCGCTAATCGCATAAGGCGAGGGAGAAAGTATGCATTTGTCATAGAATGAATCCACAATCTTGGTGAAATAATTATGTTTCTGTGAAATGAGAAGTCTTCTCGTCGAGAAACAATACGAGTAAAAGTTATTATGTTAAGACCTTTACGTTATTGGCAATTATTCGTGAACAATGAGTTTTACAAGAAATAGTTGAATATTTTTGGTCTTAATAATTCTTTTAGGAAATACATTCATTTCAGTAAATGGTTTACCTCTATTTGATTTGATCAAGTAAAAGTACATGTTTAGTGAAAACTTTGCATATTTTCAGAAGAAATGGGAGACAACTCTAAAAATATAGCTATTTAATGAAGTCTGACGATTATGTTAGTTGAATTTGCCTCATAACTATGCAATTAAAGCTCTTTTCAGCAATAATAAAAGAATGTCATACCCTCAGTGGTCTAAACTTGTTGCTTGAGGGCAAGCAACGTTTAAGTGTGAGGAATTTGATAAGTGCATTTTGTTCTTATTTTATTCAACATAATTTAAGAGTTGTTGCACGAAAATAGTGATAAGCAGTTCATAATTTTATGTTAAACTAAACAATATCTTTGGTTTGTTCCTTAACAAATAGTAATTGGTTTAAAACTAATCCAGTCTTGATTGTAGACTTTTCTACTTATATTTGTAAAAAAAAGTTTTTAATTGAGAATTTTATCATGAGAATATCGGAGGAAGCAAAAACAAGTCATGAAGTCAATTGAAAATGAAAATTGGGCCTGAATTGGGCCAAACCGCGGAAAAGCCCACAGGAGAAGGCTCGAAGCGTCCAACCTTGGACACTTTGGCTTGGATGCCTGGCAAGGATTGCGCATCAAGGAAGACACGTGGCAGACAGTGAATGGACGGGACGCGTAAGACGTCCAACTTTGGACGCTTTGGATCTGGACGGCGTGGGTTGGACGCTTTGCGTCCAGCCCTATAAATACAGCGCCTCCCCTCTTCGATTTTACACAGCGCCTTTCCACCCAAAAAAGTCCGAGATTACTTTCTTTTAGCCTAGATTTATAAAGCTACTCTTATATTTTAGATTAGTATCATTTTTGGAGTTTTTCTCGGAGCAAATTGTAGCCCGGACCTCCTGTTCTTTAGATCTGCTAAAGTAAGTTTTTCTACTTTTACTTATCAATTGAAAAATGCCTTCTTATTATGCATTTGTGTTGAAAGCTTTTGTTATGAGTAGCTAAATTAATTAGGGATGTAATTTTTGGTATGGTGATGGTAATTTTTCGGTAAAATCATTAAGTTGAAATATTTTGTTGTCAAAGACAAATTACTAGTTTTTATTACTGAGAATTTATACTTGAGATTTGTAAATCGAGAGAAAGAAAATCTATTCTTGAAAATTATATTTCTTGAGAAATCTAGAATTTAATTAAGTCAAGTCCTGTAATTTTCACAATTAATCTCTAGACATTGGATTAATTGTTAAGTAAATATTTGAAAAAGTATTTACTTAGTAGTAAAAAGATTTAAGGTAAAAGTAACTGATGATTATACTCTTAAAAGAACCATCACCTAACCAATAATTACATCCCTAGTTTTTATTCCTGAAAGGTTAAAATCAATCTCCATTCCTTTTCGACTTTTTGAAAACTTTTCGATTCAACAAGTAAATCTAGTCTAGCTAGTTTTGCTTAACTTTCCCTTGGGCCGATCCTTGAGACGACACAGAATAAACTGATCTTTTAATATCTAGTCTGTTCCCTTTACTACTACGGGAATTTTGAGTTTAATCAAAATTCTTCACCACTGCTAGTGATTGGTACGTCCGTTTGATTATCTTGCTCACTTTCACTTCCTGTTTCTTCAAACTCTTTTTATTCTTCTGTTCCTTCGATGTGTTTTAGTGGCTCTATTGTGTCATCCACTGTTTTTTGATAAACCTGGTCATCTACCACGACATTTATTGATTCCATGATGGTTTTTGTTCGCTTGTTGTATACTCGATAGGCCTTGCTGCTTGGTGAGTATCCAACAAAGATGGCTTCGTCACTTTTAGAGTCAAACTTCCCCCTCTGTTCTCGATCTCTCAGGACATAGCACTTTGCCCCAAAAATGTGGAAGTGTGCCACACTCGGTGTTCTTCCTTTCCATAGTTCATAGGGCGTAGCATGCGTTCCACTCCTGAGGTACACACGGTTTATTGTATAGCACGTTGTATGAACTGCCTCAGCCCATAAATTCTGTGGTAAGTTGTATGTGTTGATCATTGTGCGGGCTATTTCTTGTACATGTCGATTTTTCTTTTCAGCTACCCCATTCTGCTGTGGAGTTTTTGGTGCTGAAAATTCAAGGCTTATTCCGTGAAGGTTACAAAATTCTTCAAATGGCCCATTTTCAAATTCACCCCCATGATCACTTCGTACTCGCACTACCTTCCTTATTTTCTGTTGTTTTTCGTTCTGAACCTTGTTGCAAAGTGCAGCAAATGCATCCAGTGCATCATCTTTATGCTTTAGAAAGCTAATCCATGTGTATCTGGTGTAGTCATCTACTACCATGAGAACGAATCTTTTTCCACCTATGCTTTCGGTTTGCATGGGCCCAAATAGATCAATGTGCATTAGTTCCAGAGGTCGTTTGGTTGTCCGCATGAGTTTCTTTGGGCGGCTCTTTTGATTCTGCTTTCCTTTTTGGCAAGGTCCACACACTTGATCATCGGTCTGTGTGATTTTTGGCAACCCTCGAACTGCTCCTGAGTTTGATAAGGTTTTCAGGTCTTTGTAGTTCATATTTCCCAGTTTGTAGTGCCATAGTTTGGCATCTCTTTCGATTGCAGCATAACAAAGGATATTCTGTGTTACTTTGTAGCAATTGTCAGCAGTTCTATCTCCCTCCAAAACCACCAGTTTGTTTCTATCCTTGATACGGCATTTCTGCTGTGTGAACACCACTTCAAGTCCTTGATCACAAATTTGGCTGATTCTCAAAAGATTCACTTGCAATCCTTGAACTAGCCATACATTCTTGATCGGTGGAAGTCCAAATACATGCAATGTTCCATTCCCAATAATCTGTTCATGTGCGCCTCCACCAAATCTGACGTTTCCTCCTTCGATGGGTTGCACATTCGTTAGGTTCTACTTGTCTCCAGTCATGTGATGGGAACATCCACTGTCCAGAAGCCACTGATTAGGTGTGACTCGATAGCTGAAGTTTGTACATGAGGCTCTATGTTTAGGTACCCATTTCATTCTGGTTTTGGCATGCCTAGTTACACTAGCATTTCTTCTCTTCAAATTTCTCAGTTTGTAGCACTGTTGTTTAATGTGCCCCTTTTTCCTGCAGTAGAAGCAAATATAATTGAAATAAGGATTCAGGGAATAAGGCTTCCTTACATGGTAGTTGGGTGCTGAAACGCTTTCTCCTTGGCCTTGCTTGAATTGCTTTCAGGGGATTCTCTGTGACTGGTTCTTCGGTGATGGTCCTTGATTCTTTAGTAAACAGGTCCAGTTGGGTCTTGCTCCCTTCTGATCCTATGTGCCCAATGCCAGATCAGTCCCCATAGAATTTAGACGTACTCACCATTTCCTCGATCTTTTTAGCCCCTGCACTCTTCATCCACTTTTGATAGTTTCTAAGTTGAGTAAGTTCATATTTCATATCAGACTTCTCTCCTTCAGATTGGTTCAGCTGCTGCTTGACTTCATCCAGTTTCTTTCGAAGATCATATACTTCTGCTGCCAGTTGATTTTTCTCTAAGATGTTCCTCTTGTGGATAAGAAGCAGTACTGTCCACTTTTCTTGTAGTACTGTGAGTTGTTCCACTGTGTCCTCAATATTTTCTCCTTCATGTTGAGTGACAAAAGCACAATTGTTGTTTCCCACGACATCTTCTGTTTGTTCCTCATCATCACTCCAGGTTGACATGAACGCTTGCCTTTTTTTTCTTGAGATTATTTACACATTCAGATTGAATATGACCAAAACCTCCACATTCAAAGCACAGAGGCCCTTTTTTCTTGAAGTCATCATTAGAGAGTCTTGTCTCCCTTTGTCGTGTATTTCTGAACTGTATTCCTTTGGAGGAATCGCCCTAAAAGTTGTTCTTCCCCTTCTTTCGTAACCATTGTTTTTTGAACTGTCTAGTGAAGAGTGACAGTTGCTCTTGAAAGTCCTCGTCTTGTGCCGTATCATCCTCATTGTCATCTTCGTCTACCAAGCTATGAAAAGTGATTGGCTTATCATTCTTTTTCCGTTTGAGTTCTTCATTCATTTGCAGTTCAATGGTCTCTACATTACCCATGAGCTGATCTAGAGTCATATTCTTGATATCATGTGCGTGATGAATTGCTTTGGCATCCATTGCATAGGATTCTGGTAGGGCTCTCAATACCTTCAAAACTAAACTGTCTTCGGTGAAGGGACGCCTAAGATTCTCAGCTTCATTTGCCAGTTCTCTGACCCTTCCATGAAAGTCAGCTATCCGTTCTTTGTCATCCATGCGCAGGCTTTCGTATTTAGTCATGAGAATCTAGATTTTTGCAGTCTTAACTCGCTCATCCCCTTCATGTGTAGTTTCGAGAATCCCCCAGGCTTTCTTGGCCTCAGTGCAGTTTGAGATGAGTCTATACTATGAACTGTCAACAGCCCCAAATAAAGCATTGACTGCTCTGTCGTTACATTCAGCAGCTTGGGCTTCTTCCTTTGAGTATTTTTCGAATGTCTTGATTACTTTCACGCCTTTTGCATTCATTTTTGTTGGTTCTATCCACCCAGTTTCTACGATCCTCCACACTCTACCGCTTTGTGATTTCAAAAAAGCTCTCATGCGTCCTTTCCAAAAGTTATAGTTTGGTCCTCTCAACAGAGGTGGTCGTTGAACATTTGCAGCTTCCTCCATATCTTCCATGGTCGTCTCCTTCAGCTAATAACTTAAGCTGAATAGGATCTGATACCAATTGAAAGTTCTAAATGCCACCACAGTGCTCAGTAAACACAAAAGTACTATCACAGAATGAAAACAGGATCTGCTGTAGCAAAGTCTTAGACGACAGACAAGATGCTACATCACTTCCTTTAACACCAATGCACGTAAAACACATAATAAAGTAAATATGCAAGACATAGAAGTTGTTTGTGCAGTTTGGAAAACTTTCCTACATCTTCGGGGCCCACATGCGTGTAACAGCCCTTCCACTGAATCACCGTAACGATTACACCTTCAATGACAAAAGACTCAATCTATTGTATTGACTTAATCAACTTATGGATGACTTTGATACCAAACTCTGTTTGTATCATGCACTTCGGCTAGTTACACCAACTCCTGTCAACTTCATATTCTGGATGTGTTACGACCCTTTACCAGTACTTCATAGATCACCAGCTGGATGACGAGAACTTCCTACTTCCTGAGAAATATGATAACCAATGCTCAAACGAGGGTTGTTGAGAATTAACAACCCATCTTTACTGAATGAATTACGCCTTGATGAATTTAGCCTCTCTACCTCTCTCGTGTTGCTCAGTATCTCTCTATTTTTCACTTCCTTTTCAACCAGGCCAAGTGTGTGTGTGTGTATTGAAGGAAAATTTTTATTAAGTCAAAAAAGAAAGGAAAAGAGTACAAGGAAGGGAGGACTAGACCAAAGCCCCTCTAGAAATGCATGGAAGATAAGAAAATGAAAGGAAAACAACATGAGTGAACATAGAAATCATTCCCAGATTATAAATCCGGGGTGCCGATCAAGAGAAAGGTTTCTGGGCATTATTTTCTTTGGTCTTTTCCCGTCCACTCTAATTGGACCGACACGACCAACATACCAAAAGGGCCCCGAGTAACTTTTAGTAGTAACAATTTTCTCCATTGTTGTGGATTTTCGACTTGGCCAATATCGAGTGATCTCGCTCACTGTCCCAACTTCAAGGTTTGGGTCATAGCTTCTAGCTTTGACTGTTCTTGGTGCATTTGGCCTCTTCACTGCTTTTTTGCTATGCCTACTTTGGACATCTTGGAAGTCATTGGTTTCCTCTTTTTGATGTGATGTCTCCCCTTCTTCAATGTAGGACCTAATTTCATATTGTTGTCCTTCAATGTCAAACGTGTGTAGAACTGGTCCAATAGTAGCCAAGTCAATACCTGCAGTGTTAGTTGATAGTGGAGGAAAATTATTGCTGTCAATAGGATCAGAGAGATGCTCATCATTTCTTGTATTTGAAATACTCAATGTGCCATCCATCTCTTTCTCAAGAGAAAGAGTGTGTGCATCACTTTCTGCTGGGCCAGAACTGTGTTCTTCTTTACTGTTTGTAACATCACACTGTGTGCCATCCAATGCTGTCTCAGAAGACAGATTGTGTGCATCATAGCATTTCAGTTTATTGTCAATTAAGAAAGAGTTGGTTTCCAGAGTAGGGGCATCATTTAGGACATTGGCAGGGGTTGGATTAATCACCAAGATGGTATCATCCGTATTGTCAACTTTCTCATCCTCACCAGGAGTATCAGTAGAATCAACATTAAGAATTGCGGCACAATCATTAGAAATAGAAGGAGACTCATGAGCTATAACATCTCTTCCATTAGCTGGAGCTAATAATGTGATTGCCATGGCTTTAACTGGGGACATTATTTGAATATAACCAATGTCAGATTGATCATCAACTAATGTAGTGGCTTTTGTAGAAACAATTCCAGGAGAAGGGTCTATCGAAAGTGATTCTGTATGAGGGCATGGTTCAGTAGCAAAAGTATTGGTTGGGCCATGATGTTTTGGTTCAATGACAGTGATCTCTTCTTCAACAATTGATGCAGCTTGGTTTGGTTGCAAAACACTCATAATCCTCTCCTGGTTTGTTTGGGTCGCAGCTGGTTTAGGAGCTACAATAGGCCCAAACCCGGGATTGGCCGGCGTGCCGCCCCGCGGACCCAATGCCCCATGCTGTCTCTGATTGGACCTTCGCACGGCTCAAGGCTGCTTTATCGATTCAGCTGCCTTGGCACTCATCCGTCTCTTCGGTTTCTTCGCCCAGGGCTATTTATAGCCCCCCCTTGTCTTTACTCTCTTCCATCATCAAATACTTTCCTTTTCTCCGTTTTTGTCATGTCTGAAGGACTCCCCACTTCTCTGAATCTCTCTGACTTCTACATACATGCATATATATACATACATATATATGTATATGTATATATATATCTATATGTGTATACACACACACACACACACACACACACACACACATATATATATATATATTGTATCATGGATAATGGTCTCTACTCCCCCCCCCCTTTACTGGTAATCTTTTTACTTGGACAGGAACTAGATCCCTGGGAAGAGTTTGGAAAAGACTTGATAGGGTTTTCACAAACTCTCTTTGCCATAAACACTATGAAAACATTTCATGTCAACATCTTTCCAGAGGGAACTTTGATCATTGCCCTATCATCATCAAAATGCAGAACCCCAGCTTCAAAGGACCTAAACCTTTCAGGTATATAAACTGCTGGGCCAATCACCACTCCTTCAAGAAAATTATTCAAGACAACTGGGGAGATTATAAAGGAGGTGGAATGAAAGGATTTATGGACAAACTATCCAAACTCACTACAATTCTCCACAATTGGAACAAGAACACATTTGGGAACATTACCTCCAAAGTGGAAGAATTAGAGACACAACTTCAAGAAGCAGAAAAAAAACTATGAGGAGAATCAAAGCATGGATAACAGAACTCTTATGAATGATACAAGAGATCAATTGCTTAAGGCCACTAAAAATGAATTCCATTTTTGGAAACAAAAAGCTGGAATCAAGTGGCTCAAAGAGGGGGACTGCAATTCCTCATACTTGCATGCAATTTTGAAGGAAAAAAGACACTTTCAGTCCATTCAGAGAATAAAAAAACAATCAAGGACATTGGATTTATAACAATAAGGAGATTCAGCAAGAGGCTATTTCTTACTTCAGTCAACTGTTCTCTTGGGAGGAGAGTACATGGCATGACCAATTCCTCTCAAATATCCCCACCCTGATCAATGAAGCTGCTAACCACACCCTCATTACCCTACCCTCTGAAGAAGAAGTCAAGGAAGTTATATGGAGCTTAGATTCTGAAAGTGCAGCTGGACCTGATGGGTTTACCGGAGATTTCTATAGAACTTGTTGGGACATTATCAAAGAAGATGTTACAAGAGCTGTCCAGGAATTTTTTTCTAGGAATTCCCATTCCTAAAAAACTTGGCAAATCCACTATCATTCTAATTCCCAAAAAAGAGAATCCTACTACTTTTGAGGACTTCAGGCCCATTTGTTTATCCAATTTCATTGCTAAAGTTAACACAAAAATTTTAGCTATGAGACTTGGTAAACTACTGCCTGATATAATCTCACCTGAATAAGGAGGCTTCATCAAAGGTAGGCATATTCATGATCAAATCCTGACAGCCCAAGAACTTATTCATGGGATTAATTACAACACAAGAGGGGGAAACCTTGCTATTAAACTGGACATGTCTAAGGCTTTTGATAGAGCTTCTTGGGACTTCTTGGAGATGATTCTTAAGAAATTTGGTTTCTCAGACAGATTCATCAACTTAATTCTCAATAACCTCAAGTCTACTAGACACTCTATCCTTATTAATGGATATCCTAGCAGAACCTTCCAGCTGAAAAGGGGACTCAAACAAGGAGATCCTCTTTCTCCCCATCTATTCATTCTATCAGCAGAAAGCTTTAGCAGAACCATCAATCAGAAAACCCATCAGGGGATCCTAAGCAATTACAAGTTAGGCAGACACTACATGCCTATCACACATCTGGCCTTTGCTGATGATTTACTGATTTTCACCAATGGTGTTGCAAACAACCTAGCCAAAATCAACATCTTCTTGAGAGACTATGAAAGAGCTACTGGTCAAAAGATTAACCTCCATAAAAGCTCTTTCTATACCCCTGACAAAACCCCATCAGTTCATGCAATTAAAATGGGGAAAATTCTCAACATGCAAAGAGGCCAATTTCCCTTCAAGTATTTGGGCACTCAAATACACAGAGGAATCAATAGGAAGAACTACTGCTATGATCTTCTAAACCACTTTGATAAAAAACTTCAAGGTTGGCCCAAGAATATGCTTTCTCAAAGTGGAAGACTAGTTCTTATCAAACATGTCTTAAGTGTCATCCCCCTCCACACTCTTGGCTCTACCAATCTACCTAAAAGCATCCTCACATGTCTTCAGCAAAAAATGAGCAATTTCCTTTGGGGATGCAAAAATGATCACCACAACTACCACTGGAGTTCTTGGAAAGACATCTGCAGACCCAAAGATGAAGGAGGACTCAATATTGCTAATCTTGAAACCCTACAGTTGTCTTATGGTCTTAAAATGTGGTGGAGCTACATGAATAATAACTCTCTTTGGGCTGAGTTCATGCATCACAGATACCCCCACGGCTTCAACAACCCCCCCAAACTTATTGACTCTCCATCCTGGAAGAGAATCCACCACATCCATGACAAAATCATCACCATCATCAGTGTTAGCAATGACAACCAACCAACCTGGGATGATGGTCATACCGGCTTCAGCCTAAAGAAAGCTTACAATGCCTTGAAAGAGAAACAACCCACTCATAGCTTTCTTAAACACTCTTGGAACAATAAACAGTATCCTAAAATTTCTCTCTTCCTTTGGAAGATATACAAAAATATTCTACCTTTCACTAACAACCTCACAAAATTTGTAGTTTCTCTGCCCTCTATATGTTTCTTATGCAGGCAAAACAATGATGATCAGAATCACACATTCAAAGAATGCAACTTTAGTAGACAAATCTGGACACATTTTGAAGAACAATTCAAGATTCCCAGAACTACCACTCATGGGATATGCGCGTACCTAATGACATGGTGGCAAGATCAAACGACAAGCAACAATTCACAGAAGAAAATTTCCCCTGAAATAATAGCCTTCGAAATCTGGAAAGAAAGGAATCGAAGAAAGCATCAAGAAGAATCAAAAACTACAACCCAGATCATTCAAATGATCTGGAACAAACTAGTTGAATGGACTCTTGGAAAAGGAAAAGGGAAACTCTCTTTAATGTTAGAATACCCAATTATGCACTCACCATTCGTACAAATCTTCAAATGGCAAGCTACCACCACCACGGTAACCACTGATGTGGCGGTAGGCAATGGAATCATGGCGGGCAGTGCAATCCTTTGTACCTCTAACGGAAAATTCATTGGCGGTATGGCAAGGAAGCTCCAACAAAAGACAAACGTAGAAGAGGAAGAATTAGAAGCCGGCCTAATGGGCCTTCATTGGGCCACCTAAATTCAAAACGATAAAATTACTCTCTACATGGACTCTAAGAATGCAATTGAAAGGATTCAAGCCGCAAACAAAGGGGATACAATCAGCTTCAACATAAAGACACTGCTCCAAACAAGACAAGGAAGCGCCCGACACATTTACCAAGAAGGAAACACAGCGGCACACAATCTAGCACAATTTGCACTCAAAAACAATCTTTACTCCGATTATTTCTCGTTCAATTCTCTCCCAAGAACTGTTAGGGGAGCAGTCACTTGTGACAAAACTTGTATTTTTATTTGCCTTCATAATTAATAAAAAACTTCTTTCAATATATATATATATATATATATATATATATATATATATATATATATATATATACATACATACATACATACATATATATATATATATATATATATATATATATATATATATATATATATATCTGTGTGTGTGTGTGAGTGTGTGAGAGAGAACATAAAAGTCCTAACTGAGTCCTTCTCAAACACATCAAGCATGTAGGTGTAGACACCTAACTCGGCCAGGACAAGTATACGCAGAACCTCCTTGACTCCATGACATCGCAGGACGCTACAATCCCAAGCCAACTAGGCAATTCATACGACACCCATTCCTACTATTTTTTTTTGTCCCAAGGATAAGGCCAACAAACAATAAAGACTAAAAACCCAGACTCTCCCTTCGTACATAGGAGTTAACCGTAGGATATACAATAGCTAACAAATAGGACAAAGGAGTTTTTAGGGGTAGGGTCTGATGAGGGTGAAAAGGTTGAATTTTGGCTAGATCAGATCATATGTGTGCTTACTAACATGCTGGTTCCAGAAGAGCATTAGGTGTGTTTGGCTTTGGCCCTGCTACATGATGATGCGTACTACAGGTGGAATAGCCTACCTAGCAAGCCTTGTAACACCCCGACTCGCGTGACACGGACACACGGACCAGCAGATCAAGTGGAACAGCCTACCTGGCAAGCCTTGTAACACCCCAACCCGCGTGACACGGACACACGGACTAGCAAATCAGGCTGTGGCTTACGGATCCCGACAACTGAAACCCCACATGGTTAACTACCCTACGCATGATTTTGTGAAATTTTTGGCCAATTTTTCATAAAAACTACATTTTGTGACTTCTGCATTCTTTTCTTGCTAATTTCTATTCATATTGATCATATTTGTTGCTTCTGAATGGCATAGGCGTTGCTGTAACTGGTCTCTTATTTGATATAAGCAATATCAATGAACTTATTATATTAAGCATTACATGCTGTTTTTTTGCAAAAATCTGATCTTAGCTTGATGATTTTTAAAAAAAATCTGCACTGTTCTATTAACTTGCAACCTGAAATCATGTTTCCTAAAGTGCATATTTGCTTAAAATTTGTCTAGGAACTAAATCTAGAGTTATAACATGATTTCTAGGTCTGATTTTTTAATGTTAGATGCTACATTTGCTTAAAAGGATCTAATCTATGCTTCAACTGTTTTTTTAATCTGCACTTCTTAACTTGGTTTTCATGCTATTTTTGTTCTTTGGTGATCCATATGCTTGAAGTATGAACTGTCACTGATATATTTCTTTAGGGACAACCTTTAGAAGCATAACA